AAAACAAAACAACAATGACAACTGCAACCAAAAGTAACTGGGTGTTGTGGCGGATGCCTGTAGTCCCAGCTCCTTGGGAGGCTGAGGCAAGAGAATCATTTAAGCCCAAGAGTTTGAGGTTGCTGTGAGCTGTGATGGCACAGCACTCTACCAAGGGTGACATAGTGAGGCTCTGTCTCAAAAAAAAAAAGAAAAAAAAATCAGGTCGGCATGGTGGCCCCAAACCCTGCACTACGGGCTCGCTGGTAGCCGAACACTTACTCACACTACCTCAGCAGGGCATCTCTACTGGACTTTGTTCCTCTGGGACTCCCAGTTTGGCACAGAGTCTAGCACACAGCAAATATTCTAAAAGCAGCTGAATTAATTAAATTGAAAAGAATAGAACAGAGTCAAGCTTGAGTTCCCCTTCCAAGTGGTTGATGTCAAAAAGAAAAGTGCTCGAAGGGGTTTTCCCCACACAACTCGGGGCATTCTGTGAGCAGTGACCAGGCAATGTCACCGCAACCACCTTGACACCTTCCCCTGGCCGTGCTCTTTGAGCTGGGTCCCCCCAACCGTCTGCTCTCTCCAGGCAGGACATCCAGGGAGGAGAGGATGTGGCACTAAGCTGCGGTCCTATTACACAAACCCCTCCTGCCCTCGGAAGGAAGAAAAGGTAGAAAAGGATGAAAGACCCTCTGGTGCGCTTCACTGGAGGTAAAGAAGGGTTCCCCAGTGTAGTCCCAGCCTCCTGCAGAGAATCTTTGGGATGTTTTTAAAATGCAGAGACTTGGCTTCTATTTCTAAATTAGTCTTTCTGAGTGGGAGACCTTAGATTCTAAGTATAAGGCATTTTAAGAACAACTATTATGTGTGATTCACGATAATTTTAATCTTGTTAGTAATAATAATGTCTCCAAATCAAGAATGCAAACTCAGGCGGTGCCTGTGGCTAAGTGAGGAGGGTGTCGGCCCCATATGCCAAGGGTGGCAGGTTCAAACCCAGCCCCCTCCAAACCGCAACAAAAAATAGCTGGGCGTTGTGGCAGGCGCCTGTAGTCCCAGCTACTTGAGAGGCTGAGGCAGGATAATCGCCTAAGCCCAGGAGTTGGAGGTTGCTGTGAGCTGTGACTCCATAGCACTCTCTACCAAGGGCAATAAAGTGAGACTCTGTCTCTAAAAAAAAAAAAAGAATGCAAACTCCAGGCCGGGTGTGGTGGCTCATGCTTGTAATCCCAGCTCTCTGGGAGGCTGAATTGGGTGGACTGCTTGAGCTCAGGAATTTGAGATCAGCCTGAGCAAGATCGAGCCCTTGTCTCTACTAAAAATAGAAAAATAAGCCAGGCATTGTGGCAGGTACCTATGGTCCAAGCTACTTGGGCAGCTTGAACCCAGGAATTTCAGCTTGCTGTGAGCTATGACATCATGGCACTCTAGGCTGGGCAACAGAGTAAGACTCTGTCTAAAAAAAAAAAAGCAAAATCCACACTGTCACAGCTAAGAATTACTGATAAAGCTTAAAGATATTGAATAGCAGAAGCTTTATGATCTATGAATATCTATGTTTGTTAAACTAAATTTCTGGGGGAGCCAGCCATTTGAAATGTAACCCTACATTCTAGTAGGTTATCAGTAACCCTAGTTTAACCTCTGAAATCACTATCACCCTTCTACGTGGTTGCCAAGTGAGCTATTTCAAGAGTGCAACTTAAGACTGACATACTCACTTATTTAGAGTTTCGTGGTTATACACGTGACTATAGTTAGAGCACCAACCTTATATATTCTAATGAAACAATTGTTTGCTTGCTTCTCCCTAAGAAATAAGAGCCCTTTACCAGAATCCGGAGGTTTGTTTATCAGCATCGTGTGCATGGCCATGATATTAGGCCCAGTGAAGCACTCCACGTATTTCAGAATCTACGAAACAGGAAAGCAAAAACAGGACAAAGTCTATGGCAATCAGAAGTGTTGAGCAAGGGGCACAAAGTACAGCTATCCAGACAAGAACCCACACCGCTACCGATGAGATACATAAAACAAAAAGAAAAAATAAATGGATTTACAAGTAATAGCCTCAGCAATTTCACCTCTGCAGAGGCATCCATGTTGCGTGTTAGGAGAGATTTCTCTCTTTAACGCAGAATTCTCATCTTTTTTAACAAATGAGAATTAGCAGGCTCTGCGGCAGAGTTTCTCCATCTTGGTGTAATTGACATTTTGGGGAGCGGAGGGGGCTGCTCTGTGCAGTCTAGGATCTCGGGGCCCACTGGCAGCAATCCTCGGCCTCTACCTGCTAGAAGCCAGTTGCACACTTTCCTCTCTGCTATGACAACAAAAAAAAAGTCTCCAGAAGCTAAATCACCTCCAGTTAAGAACCACTTTGCATGTGGATATGGAACCCTTAGCCCTGTTAGAGGCGGGCTCTGCCACAGGAACAAAGCTGAGGATGGTCTCTAACCTGGGGGAGGGTGCAGTATCTGAAGAGCTCCTCATCTTCTTGGAAATCCTGGATCTTTGAGACCGTGTTCTCGCTTGACTGAAATTCTGATTTCGCGATGCTCACATCTCTCATCACTTGTAATCCTAATGGTTTCACCTCTTTTCTGCAGATTTTTTCAAACTCATTCCTAGAAAATTAAATTTGCAAGTGGATACAGTGAAGGCCCTCACTTCACTACAATGCAAGATATCAGTGTAGCAAAATTGCACTCGTACCCCACGAAATATCTACAAATAAAAAATAAACAGGTTGAACACAGTGGTGTGCGCCTGTAGTCTCAGCTACTTGGGAGACTGAGGCACAAGGATTGCTTGAGCCCAGGGGTGCAAGGCTGCTGTGAGCTATGATTACACCACTATACTCCAGCCTGGGCAACAGATTGAAATCCCATCTCAAAAACAAAAAATAAAGAGCCAGGTGAGGTGGCTCACATATGTAATCTTAGATGAGGTGGGTGGATTGCTTGAGCTCAGGAGTTCAACACCAGCCTGAGCAAGAGTGAGACTCCATCTCTCCTAAAAATAGAAAAACTAGGCTCAGAGCCTGTAGCTCAGTGGTTCGGGCACTGGCCACAAGCACAGGGGCTGGTGGGTTCCCACCCAGCCAGGGCCTGCTAAATAACAATGACAACAATAACAAAAAAATAGCTGGGCATTGTGGCGGGCACCTCCCCACTTGGGAGGCTGAGGCAAGAGAATCACTTAAGCCCAAGAGTTTGAGGTTTCTATGAGCTGTGATGCCATGACACTCTACCCCGGGTGACAAAAAGAGACTCTGTCTCCAAAAAATAAATAAAAATAAAATAAACAAAACAACAGGAAATAAAGAAAGAATAAAGAAAATTAAATTTGAATATTGTGTCATTACTGGTAACTCCTAGCATCTGCCTGGCCCTACCCTACAGAAAGAGCCACAGAGTTCAGGGGTGGTTTCCCTGCACTGGGTTGGCCTCCAGCCCTTGGTATAATTAATTCTGATGAAAGGGAGGAAAAAATAGCCAACTCCAGCCTGGACAACATACCAAAGCCCCATCTCTACAAAAAATTGGTCAGGTGTAGTGGTGTTCATCTGTAGTCCCAGCTACTTGAGTGGCAGGAAGATTGCTTATGGTTGAGGATGTAATGAGCTATTATAGCACGTTGCACTCCAACCTGGGTGACAGAACAAGACTTTGTCTCAAAAACAAAAAAAAAAAAAAAAGGGAGGGGGGAATGCTGGGTGGGGCAGCTGAGGTCTGTAATCCTTGCCCTCTGGGAGGCCAAAATAGGTGGATTGCTTGAGCTCAGGAGTTCAACACCAGCCTGAGCACAAGCAAGACCCCATTTCTACTAAAAATAGAAAAAGTAGCCAGGCACAATAGCTTATGCCTGTAGTCCCAGCTACCTGGGAGGCTAAGGCAAGAGGATTGCTCAATCCCAAGAGTTTGAGATTGCTGTGAGCTAAGATGATGCTACCGCACTCTACCCAGGGTGACAGAGTGAGACTCTGTCTCAAAAAAAACAAAAAAGAAAGAAAGAAAAGAAAAGGCCAACTCCGAACTCCAGGCTCCCGTCAAGCTAGAATCCCCTACTAGAATTAAAATATTCCTTAGCTTAGCGTCACCAGTAGGGAAATATTTTTATGATTGGTAACATTATAATAATAGCAAATACTTCTATGACACATACCGTGTGCCAGGCCCTGTTCAAACGGTCTCCATGTATAATGTTTCACCTGACTTAGTTCTAACAACAGCACAAGGACGCAAGTACTAAGATTATCTTCCTTTTATAGATGAGGAAACAGAGCCAGGAAAAGTTAGGGGAATTGCCCCAGGACATACAATACTAAGTGGTAGAGCTGAGATTCAAGCCAAACTGTCTGGCTCCACAGCCTGTGCCCCTAAATACTTCCCAATTAGCCAAATCATTCAGAATGATCTGACTAGGCAGGAGCTGATCTAATGTGTGTTTCCAAAACATGCATATAATACACAGTTTGGGAAAATAACAAAATAGTAGCATACCTAAAGCGCTGAATATCAGCATCCGGTACCAGATTTTTAATGACAAGGAAGCCATTTTCTTCATAAAATTTTCTCTGTTCCAGGCTTAGGACATTATTATCCAGAGTATATCTAAAGGAGAAAAAAAACCCAAATAAACGCAATTTTTAAATTACAGTCTAACAGTCTATATCAAGGACCGGAGAGATATTCATACTCGGTATTTCTTTTTTTCATCCAACAAGAAGCCATAACTTTATTAATGATAGAAACAGTACAAATTTCAAACCAAGCTGCAGTTTACTCTTTTGAAACACCAAAAAAGTCCTCATTTTTTTGATGGTTACATTGTTAGTTCCATAATAGCATTTACAATATCATTACTGTTGTTCTTCAGAGCTCGGACTGCCTTTGCTCTTGACACATTTGCTTGTGACATGACCAATTCTATGTCCTTAACTTCCACACCTGTCTCATCAACCT